AAGAGGAGGTGCGTGAGGCCAACGCTAAGCATTAGCCATGGCACGTACTAAGCAACATGCATACCGGGCCAATAGTAGGCCGAGCGAGCATAAGCATGCTAGTGCCTCACTAGGCACACGAGGGTGCACGCTAGGCTAGAGGCATCGGGGTAGTGCTGGGCACTTGCCAAAAGTGGTGCCGAGCTAGTATTGAGTACCGACTAGTAAGGACATGCCAACTCGTGGGCCTTCAAGGCCCAAAATCTAAAAAATTAAAATTTTAAAAATTTTAATATTTTATAAAATGACCAAGATCACATATTTATAATTATATTTAAATGAAATATGTTTCATTTATGTATATGTCATGTATCAATGTGATTGAAATATGGTTGAATGGTATGGATGACTCGACTTAGTTTTTGGGAATGTATGCTTATAAATTTTGGTTAAATAGGTCATGCATGTCCTACCTCCTATTTTATTCCAATGTATTGACCTTCTCATCTTACTCTCTTCGAATATAACTCGAGGTTTTTTATTTAAAAAATTATAAAAGTAGAACACATATTAAAAAAATAGGCACAAGGAGAAAGAGCCTAGAAGAGAAGACAATCTTAAAGAAAATATAATAATTTTAAACCTATTTATATGATCTACTAGTCTTCTTATGACTTGAGGGGACTAGTGGTAGAAATCCATTACAATTCATTTATTCTTGAGTCATGTATGCGAATATGATGCGATTGATATCTAGTATGCATGATAGTACGAGATTAATGCCATTAAACTCTAGTATACATATTAGGATTAAAATAATGAGGCCATAATATATATTAAATCATTCAAATAAATATCAAGTTATATGCCTTCCAATGTTATGAGGAGAGAACTCCTTTGGTCATTATTGACTTATTAAGATGACTCAAAGCCACTTCTTCCTCGAGGGAATCTAATCATGAGCCATACATTATCCTCGAACATTTAGGTCTAACTTGAAATGAATTGTTGCTAGGTTTTTTGAGATAATTCAAGGTCTAATGAATTTGTAGAAAAATATTGGTATTCACATAAGATGTGAGATGATAAGAAATTGTCATGCCAATACTATTAAGAGTTTCATTAGATATAATTGAGAAAAAGTTACCTACCTAATCTTTCATATATGACTTGTTGAAATAACTTAAAGTTAATATATGTTAGAGGATAGGATAACCCACTAAGAAAAATGAATCAAAAAGTTTTCTCGAGTCCTATATTAAAGGTTATAGGACTTGAAGAAAATAGTATAAGCAAACATATATTTTACTTCTTAATTTATGCTTTGTTTTATAAATGTAAATCAATTAACTAAACTATATATTTTTCTATCCTATCAAGACTATTGCACAGTATGGCTAGTAAAACATTGATACGATCGATGATTAACACAAGTAATACCTTAAATGACGTAAACTTCTTTGACTAAGAAATGAATCTAAGGAATGTCCTCCAATGTGAAAAAAAATGCTCTATACGATAGAGAAACAAGAGTACTTAGATGAGGTATCAAGTATTTATGTTATTGAAGTTAATTTTTTCCATTTCTAGCTTGACCTTATAGGTATTTAATACTTGATGTAATCCTCATATTTGTACAAATGTGCAAGGAATAAGAGAGTTAAGGAAGATTGATTTAAGAGAGGTTGACTTATACATTGGTAATGGTTCAAGAGTTGTACCATTAGGCTGTAGGTACTTATGAGTTAGTACTATCATCTAGACTTGGGCTTACACTAAAAAACTATTATTACATTTCTAGTATAACTAAAAATATTATTTTCATTTTTTTGTTTGGACCAAGATGGTTTTACATTTTTATTTAAGAACAAAAATTATTCTTTTTATAAAGATAATGTTTCATATGAAAATGCTAAAATTAATAATGATTTGAATGTTTTGAACATAGAAACATTCATTTATAACATAAATACCAAAAGATTCAAAGCAAATGATCTAAACAAAACATTCATTTATAAATGAGAATCAAATATCCAAACTATATAAATAGATATCTAAAATTATTTGATTATAAATCTTATGATATTTATGAATCTTGTCTACTTGGCAAAATGATAAAATCTCCTTTCAATGGAAAAGAAGAAAGGGTTGCTGATTTGTTAGGCCTTATACATTGTGATTGATAAGTGTATAATTAGCATGATTTTCATGCTCTAATACATTAAAATTTCTAGCGTTTATTGTATTATATTATATTTTTAAGAATAAGATAATGATTTTGAGTTTTGTTAGAAAAATGATGAATCGAAGCAAGGAAACCTAAAACCAAAGCAAGGAAGAAAAGTCACCAAAGAGGCTTTGAAGAGTCATATGGTCATGTGATTAAAGGAGAAAAATGTGTAAAATCTCAAGCATGGCAAGCCATACGAGTAGAACCATTTCCATATGGTTTATCTATAATTCTAAATGATTGTATGACATTGAAGAAGAAGATCCACATAAGTAGTAAGCTCTTTACATAGTTTAAAGTATAAAACCACACGTCCGTGTGACTAAGAAAGAGAAGATCTACATGGGCGAAGTTTGACCATAGGGTTTGTGAACAAATTCAAATGGTCGTGTGCAACCTAATCTCCAAGGTTTTAAACGAGTGTGATATCAAGTAATAAGCCATATAACTTTACACATCAAGTTGTGTAACAACATAATACCGACACAAAAAGTGATGTAATGCTAGTTTTGGGTATAAATAGTAAAGTTAGGGCATTATTTATTCATACTCTCGAGCTAGCTTTTCTACGACCACTATTAATAAAATTCTCTCTTTCTATTATCGACGTCGGCCATTGTGAGGGGCGGAACAAAGAGTCGCCACCTAGCTAATGAAGGAGAATTAGAAAACTATAAACATACTCGTTCTACATAGATATCCAGGTAAGGGGTCGGTTACGTATGAGGAAGATATGACATCATCACCATCCCATCCTACCTAAGCTACATCTGTTTGCCTATAGACATAAAAATCTGGTTTGTATTGTGTTATACTTCTATGCTCGTGTAAAAGAATTTATTTTGTAAAAATATGAAACATGATAATTCAAATGTAAAATGGGATAGTTTGGGAGTTCAAGTCGATCTATGGCCGATACTCTGCCCATAGGGGAAAGGTGGGAGAATTTAGAATTTTGACTAATCATTAAGGACCAAAACTTATTATCAACAAATAGGTGAGTTTTTAAAGATGAATAGCTTTTTATTGGCATGAGCGATAAGTCACCGACGACTTCGCTCACATAAGTGAAAAGCCACCGATGACTTCGATTCATGAGTTTAAAGCAAATGATAACCTTGTCACATAAGTTAAAAGCTATAAACTACTTTATTTAGCTCACGTAATGAGCGAGATAACTATTTCAAAGCCATCGATGGTTTTGCCACATAAGTTGGAAGCCACTAGCGACTTCATTTAAGATAAAATAAACATTAAATAAAAATTATTTTGAAACCACCGATGGCTTCATCACATAATTTGAAAGCCATCAATCGATTCATTTTGATGAAATAAGAAACAAAAAAGTAGAAAATAGAAAACGAGAACAAAAAAAAATAGAGAAACAAAAAACACCAAATAGGAAATAGGTATAAAAAATAGATAAAATGATTTCGAAACCCATCGAGACTTCGTCACACAAGTGAAAAGCTACCGACAACTTCATTTTGATGAAATTAGAAACAAAAAATAGAGGAGAGGAAATAACTAGAAACATGAATCGGGAATCGGGAACAATAAACAAATAAAATGATTCCGAAATCGTCGACGGCTTCATCATATAAGTGGGAAGATATTGACGACTTCATTTCAATATTACAATCAAGCTTAGTTGATCAAGCGACCATAAGAATGAGCATAAACTTTTCATTTAGGCAAACATGTGTCAAATAGTAAAACAACATAGTTTGTCCAAAATGGCTAATTACGGGAATATTTGTTTCAAAAAAATTTAACAAGTGAATGTTCAAGTGTCATGCAATAATTTAATTCACACAATCGGACATAGTTAATCAATCGAGTTACAACAATAAGACAAACTTCACGTTTGGACATGCGAGAATAAAACGAGTAAAATAGTATAGTTTGTCCTTAATATACATTACAACAATGTTCATTTCGACCATATTTAAACTATGGATACTTAAACAAAATACAATAGTTTCATTCGCATAATTAAACAATCCAATCATTTTAACCATTATTTTTTTCAAGAAAAGAATGCAATGATTTTGGAATTTTTTCCAAAAGTTACGAAATTTTGATATTCAAAATAAGGTCGGCTTTACTCTCTTTAATCCCAATAAAAGCCGATTAAACAATTAGTCGGGAAAGGAGAGCGATTATTTATTGGCAAAATGTATTGTGGGTCCTATTAAAATGACCAAAAACGCATTCGTTGCTCGTGTAAATACTCCAAAAATTGTTGTAAAATCTATAAAGTTTCTTGAAAACTCAAAGTGACTTTTGATCATGTATTTCCTATCAAAAATCAAACAAATATAGTCTATAACATCATATTGTTCCAGCCAATACTATCTAACATAAGAATTTTTTTTATCTTTTTCTTTCTTTTATTTTTATTTTTTATTTTAAGAACTTAGGAGGGATTGAACTTATTGACTAGGGTTGCATAAAAGGTATATTGTGGACTATTTTGGGGATTGTTTAGGGGATTGGAAAGGGATTATATAGAGGTTGTTTTAAGGGTTTTTTAGGTGAGGAAAAGGCTAGCTAAAAAAGGGCTATAAGAAGGTTATTTGGTGGTTATTTTTAGTCTTATAGGGGTTTTTTTATAGGTGGTTTTAAGGGATGTTTATGGGTGTTTCGGGGTTGTAAAATGAGGCTATTTTAATGGGTGTTTTCAATCGATGTGGGTGAGCTTTTGGGGGTTTTTGCTAAGAAAGAGAAGGTCGGCATATGGTGGTTAATTCAGGCTAGAACATGGAGTTGCTAAGTGGGAGAGAGATTAATGAGGAGATGCTTATCTTACGGGTTATCTAGAGTGAGTGTTATTGCTCGGGCGAGCTTTAGACTAGATAGTGGGGCTGCTCGGGGTTGGACTTTCATGCAAGCTAGAGGCAAGATAGTATGGCATACGGTAGAGTTGGGGCTGTAAGGCGATGGTCTTCTATTGGAGAAGGTCGTGCACGAGTCCGGAGGGAAACCGCTGGAGTTGGTATACGTGCAAAGAGCTAGACGCTCGAGTGGCCTACTAGAGTTGAGACATACGCGAGTCTATAGAGGGGTTGTTGGGCTTGAGCTTGGGGTTAGGGGCCGTTGTACGCGATGACCTACTAGTAGAAAAGCTCGGGCACGAGCTTGAGGCGAAGTCTGTCGTGTTAGTTTAGGATATTAGGCTGTAAGGAAGGAGTCGTCATTTACGGCTTATATGGAGAAAATGATGGGGGTTGTAATGGCTTGTCAAAGGAGAGGGTCGTTATGAAAGGATTTCGGATGCGGAAGAGTTGTAGTGATGGTGAAAGGGTGTGAAAGAGGAAAGTGAAGGTACGAGGTTGTGTAATGGGCTATCCGTGTTATAATAAAGGAGCTACGAATGTAAGAGAGGGCAATGGGAGTTGTTTTTTTTTTAATGTATAGAGAAAGGTGGTCGGATTCTTTTAGTTGATGACAAATACTGAATTTATATCAAAAAATGCATGGGGTGGCTTTTATATATAAGGTTTTTGGTAAAGTTTGTTTTGGTCCCCCACACTCTATCACCCATCAATTCAAGTTTAGTTTTTTTTTGTTTTTTTTTTTTTTTAAGAAAGAGCTCTTAGTGTCGGCATAGAGTGAGAAAATAGAGAGAGATGCTCTCCTTCAAGGGAAAACTTTCCCTCATGTCTATTCGGTGCTACTCGTTGTATCTTCTTCTCGCTCTTCCCTCTCTTATTGATCTCTCGTTCTTATGACTCTCTCTTGTTCTTGTTGTTACTATTCACTATTCTTCTCTCTCTACCCGATTCCCTCTTTTCTCTACCCTTTCTATCAATTGTTTCATGGCCAGAAGAAGAAGAAATCTGGTTTCAAAACTACAAAAACAAGTATAAGGAGAGATTTAGATGATCCGAGTATTGGCCTTAGCTACCTCGTTTAGTCTTCCTTCTCCTCCATCCGACGTGGTTACTTGTTCTTGGATCCGGATATGCCAAACCTATGGCCGATGGGTCCATACACCTTGCTCAACTTGTTCCACTTGACCATGTGGAGGTTGAAGATTGCTTAAGTGATGAAGATTCAACATTTGAAGATGCTAGCTTGGAAGGCTCGGATCCGGATGACAATTATGGCTCACACTCTAAATTTTTCAAGGCTCATTCTCTTACCCCTAAGGTCGTTGGGGTAAGGAATCAGCCAAGTGTTGAGGAACAAGTCGGTGGGAAGATGATTTCAAGGTTGGGTAAGCTCCCACAAAGTCTACTTTCACAATTGGCAACCGTTGGCACTTCTTATCCACTCGCTGAGAGACAATGACGTTCCAATTATGGATACTACTCAAACTCGGCTTCTTCCTCGGTTGAATAGTGGGCATATTTACGAGGTGGTGACTAAAAATGAATCAAGAGATGTTGCCTCTCCTCCTACTGGAATGGTTTGCCCCGCATCGAAAGGTAGACCTAGCTTTCGACCTATTGCTAATCCGAGTAATTTCGAGCCCCATTCGAAAAATGAAGAGATTTATTTGCTAATAACTATAGCGACTGAATCATGTTTAAAGCTTACTCATTTTTCTACCATTATTGATACTAAAACTTACATATTGCTTGATGATAACCCGAGATGTGAAGTATGAAAGTAATGTTTGGTTGGGTATCTTGTCGAGAAATCCCCAAGATTTAGGACCCTCAATGGGATTATTGTTAACACATGAAAATGTGAGGCTTCATTATTTATTCATGACTCGAGTTGGTTGGTTTATAAGTTTACCTCGGAGAAAGATAAATCATCTATGTTAAATGGAGGTCCGTACTTGATCTTCGATTGACCTTTGCTTTTGAGGCCTATGCTTGGACCTTTTTGATTTTTTAAGCGAAGAGATGTCGATGGTGTCGGTTTGGGTAAAGTTTCCAAATCTTCCCCTTAAATGTTGGTCCACTTTCGTGCCTCTAAAAAATTGCTAGCTTGCTTGGTAAACCAATTTAGTGTGATAGATTGACAAGCTCTATGGATCGGATTTCTTATGCGATGGTTTTGGTTAAGCTAAACATTATGGAGGAATTATCGAAAGTGGTAAAAATTAAGCTACCGAATGGTTCCATTCTTCTTCGACCTATCGTTTATGAAACTCTACTTACTCATTGTAAGGCTTATCGTGTTTTAGGGTACTCTATTACTTCTTATGGTAAGTGATCGACCAATGTGAATCCGACCAATGAACGGGCCGTAAATAAGGCGGAGCATACGGATCGAGCCGGGGTGAGTGTAGTTCGTAGGTTGAGAACTGCTGCTACTACTATGAACACCACTTTGTTACCGGTGGAAAATCTTCGACCCTATATGTTTGGATGCGACTGCCGCTTCGATGTGTGGGAGACAGTCGGAGGTAAAGCCCAAGCTAAGTTCGGAAAAACTACCAAGCTTAGCATTGGCGGAATACTCATACTCGGCCTAGGCAAACCGGGCATGCTCGGACTCGATAGGAAAATCGAGCAATTCTTGGCCTCTAATCTAAGGCTCGGACGGGGAAAGGTAAAACTGTTGAAGCTGGTAAAAATAATATGGGGGTTGGCCCTAGCTAGAGTACTGCTATGGGGGTGGTTAGAGAGGATCCGGTTGGCTAAGGTAGGCTGGACGATCTATGTGCTTGGGACTCGTCGGCCTAAGTGGCGTAAAGAATGTTTGTTATGTAGGACGGGAAGATGATGTACTTGGTACCGAAAGTGAAGCTAGAGTAGATATGACGAGCATGGTTATTAGAGTAGAGCAATCAACCAATGGTTTTACTCGAAAGCTCTCGAGGGCGACCACTAAAAGATGGAGTAGAAGTGCTAAAAGGGGTGCTGTGGGGGTTCTTATCACCTTAGTGGCTATATGTTGATTTTAACTTGGAATGTTAAGGGCCTAAATAGTCCCCTAAAGCAGCATGAGGTTGCTGGCCTCATGAGAAAGAAGAAGATAGATGTTTATGCTTTTGTTGAAATCAAGCTTAATCTTCCCAAACTTACACAAATGCATAAGGTTCGGTTTAAGTAGTGGAGGTTTATTTCCAATACGAATATGGCCTCCAATACCGGTATTGCTCCTTTTTGGAATCTAGATACTATTTTGATTGATCTCCTAGATGTTTTGGGACAAGGGTCGAATGTCAAGATCGGTAGCCTTGTCCATCGGATAGGATTAAATGGTACTTTTGTGTATGGTTACAATACAATTATTTAAAAACGAGAGTTATGGGATGATTTTTGTAGATAGAACCCCAATTTTTCTTGGTTTGTTCTTGAGGATTTCAACTGCAAATACTTCAAATTTTTTAATATATGGGCTCATCATGAGGGCTTTCTCCAAATTGTTGAACAACATTGGCATTGTGCTTCAGGGGTAGCCCTATATATGTCTTGTACGGAAGTTAAAGAATTTGAAGAGGCCTTTGAAAAATCCGAATAAGCTTCATTTCGATCACATTTTCGAGAGGATTGCTCGTGCAATTGACGACCTTGAGCACCACCAGTAGGCTCTTCATAATGACGGGGATAACACCCTCATTTTAGAGCAATATAGGTTATTGAGGTTGAATTTGTTTAATCTAAAATCGACGGAGAAGATTGTCTTCGGACAAAAACTAAAATACAAGTTTCATAAGGATAGTGATAGGGGTAGTCGCTTTTTCCATACTTTTATGAGCCAAAGCCACAAGAGGAACTTCATTGCGGCTATCCAAGGAAATAATGAGCGGTTTATCACTTCTCTTAATGCCTTTGGAGGTATTTTTGTTAACTAATATAGGAATCTACTTGGTTCATCTAGGGACATCTTTCCTCTTGATGTAGAGGTTATTGCTAATGGGCCTTGTCTTTTCTTAGTGTTTCGATATACTAATAGCCCCGATCACCAATGAGCACATCAAGGTGACTCTGTTTGGGATTGATAATGATAAAACCCTAGTGGTCGAATGGTTATTCTTTGTTGTTTTTCAAAAAAGCTTGGGATATTATTGGTGTTGACTTTTGTGCTACGGTGAAGGATTTTGTTGCCTTTGGGAGACTCCTCAAGCAAGTCAATCATTCCATTATTGCCTTGGTTCCCAAATCGACTAATTCCTCATCGCCTTCGAACTTTAGACAATATCTTACCGCAATGTTGTATATAAAGTGATTTTCAAGATTCTCTCTTCTAGGTTAATCGAGGCTTTGTGTGATATTATAAGTCCCATACATAATGTTTTTTTAGGAGGGAGGAAGATGTCGGATAATATTCATCTACTCCGGGAGCTTCGCGACGAGTATGGTAAGAAGCGGGCTTCCCGAGATGTCTTTTGAAGGTTGATTTCAAGAAAGCTTTTGATTCGGTGTAGTGGCCCTTCTTGAGAGATCTCCTTTTGCGGTTTGGTTTCCCGAATGCCTTTATACACTTAGTTATGACTTGTGTGGAGTCTTTCTCCTACTCCATTGCTATGAATGGTGACCTTTTTGGTTTTTTTCCAGGAAAAAGGAAATCGAGCGAGGTAAACCCCTTCCCCTACCTCTTCACAGACTTGTATGGAATACTTTTCTCATATACTTATAATCACATATGCTAGAGCTGATTTTAGGTTTCATCCAAAATGTGGGGTTCAACGGATTAGCCACATTGCTTTTACGAATGATGTTATGCTTCTTTGTCGAGGAGATAGATCATCAATTTAGTGTTTATCTCAACAACTGAGTACTTTTAGTAGAACCTCTAGGCTTGCTATCAATGCGGTTAAATCTTCTATTTATTTTAGGGGGTTAAAAACGACTCGAAGCTAGTCCTTCTACAAGATACGAGGTGCACGAAAGGTAACTTTCCATTTTGATATCCTGGGGTTCCTCCGAGTCCTTATAAGCCGCTGGCTAGTCGGCTTTCTCCTTTATCGCGAGTTTGAAATCGGTGGTCCAATCCTAGATAGGGAAGCATCTTTCTTATGCTTGGTCGACTGTAGCTATTACGATCGATCTTGGTCGGTACAATTTAGTTTTGGCTTGCTATTTTTCCTATCCCAGCTATAGTCATCTCTCTATCACCAATATTTGTAGGAATTTCCCTTGGATTGGGGATGTGAGCAAATGTCATTCAACTTTGGTTGCATGGAAGCGACTCTGTTACTCGAAGAAGGAAGAGGGTTTGGGTTTATGTGACTTAAAAACTCTCAATTCTTGTTTGCTTGCCAAACGACTTTGGGATATCTATCTCAAAACTAATTCAATTTGGATTCAATAGGTCCATCACTTCTACTTGCAAGATCAAATGATATGGGATGTCCAAGCACATAGGAATGCTTTGCCCTTACAAAAAGTGATTATATCCACAAGTGGTCCAAACTTGTTGAGAAATTTGAGGATAGAGCTCGGGTGGTTGAAAAAATGGAGAATTTGAGCCAAGAAAGATTCTCTTATAATGCTTATGAAAATCTTAGACCTATAGGTGTGACGATCAATTGGACTAGGGGAGTTTAGGAATCGTGGGCCTTGCCAAGGCATGTGTTTGCGTTATGGCTCGTGATAAAAGAAAAGCTAAAAACTATTGATCGCCTTAGCTTTGTCTCGGAAGATACAACCGTGCTCTTTGTAGGCTTGATCTAGAATCACATCGCCATCTATTCTTTGAGTGTACTTGGGCAACTAGTTTGTGGGCTAAGGTTAGATAATGGTTAAGAATTAGAATAAACATGTCTACACTAATAAGTGTCATTAGGGGCCTCTCCATCCGGAGGAATAATTTGGAAGCTAGGATATGAAGAGTCTCTTTGGGAATCACGAGTGTACCTTATTTAGAAGGCAAGGAACAAGATAATTTTTTATGGTACCCCTCTTCGGTCGATCGTGTATTCGGGAAGTTCCGAGTTCTCTTCACATGATCTTTCACTTTCATGAGCAGGATCATACCATGTTGAATGTTGGCTAATGGGCTCGACTAATGGGGTCTTTTGTTCGTAGATTTAGAGGTCGCCGGTGTTGGGTTTGTTGGTTTGGCTTCGAAGCTTTGCTTGGAGCTAACCTCCTTAAGGTTTTGTCTTGTGTTTGGTCCGGTTGCTTGCGATGGATTTGCCATGTTGGGCTCATCTCCCCGATTTTTGATTTTATGTAGCTTCATTCTGTCGTTGTTCTCGCCGATTATTGCTTCTTGGATTGGTCGGTAGTTGCTTTGTAGTTGTTGAATCATTCTTTATGGTCTCTTCTCGCCTAATTTTTATTTCTTTGTAGAGCTCTTGTACATGGTTCCGATTAGCTATGACAATTGTTTCGATTGGTTATTCTTAGAATCCTTAACGCCAAATTCCTTGAGCAACCTTTTGTATCTAGCTTCTTTTGCTTTTGGTTTCTTGGGAGCCTGTTCCCAATTTCATCTATATCTTGTATATGCTACTCTTGCTTGGTTTCCGGCTTTGTTTCTTTTGATTTATATACTTACGGTTCAATAAAAAAAATTTTAGTTTTTTTTTTAATTTCAATAGAGTCCTTAAATTTGAATTAATTGTGACTTTTTTTTATTTCTCCTAATTGTGTCCCCCTTTTATTTTAATTAAAGGATATAATTTTTTATTTTTTTGATTGGACCCTCAATTATCCTATTTTAGTACCTTTGAACTTTTTATTTCTTTAATTAACCCCTTCCTTTTTTTGATTAACCTAAACTAATTATTCCAATTAATTTTTTTCTTTTTCATTTTTTTTCATTTTCGTTTTCGAGTTTTTGGTATTTTGTAATAGAAATAAAAATTGAAGTAGAAGTAATAAGGGTAAAATTTTGAGTAATAACGAGTTGCCTCCTCTTTACAATGCTTACGACGTAAAATCATTAAAAAAGATTTTTCTTTAGCTTTACATAGTAAGCTTGTAAAGAAAATAGACGAAAGTTAAGGAGATAAGACTAATCGTGACGATCTTTGAAAATACATGACTAATCATGTTAATTAAAAAAGGTGTGACTGATCACATTTATTTGAAAGGATGCGATCGACCACATTGATTCAACGAGGGCATGATAGACCATGTCCAATTAAAAGAAAATATGATTGACCAAGTTGATTTGAAAAGACACGACCGACCATGCCAACTTTGGAATGCACGACCGATAATGTCAAAAGAAAACGTGATTGACCTTATTGATTTGAAGGGGTGCAACCGACTACGCCGACTTTGCAAGACATGACCGGCCGTGTTGATTTGAAGAGGCATAACCGATAATGCCGAGTGTGCAAGACATGACTGGCCATGTCAAAAAAGAGTATGATCGGCCACGTTGATTGGAAGGGGCGAGTTTGTAAGACATGATCGGCCATGTTAAAGGAAGTGTGACTCGCTATGTTGATTTGAAAGGAAACGACTAACCTCGTCGATTTTAGAGAACATGTCCGGCCATGTCAAAAGGGAATATGATTGGCTATGTTGAGTTGAAAGGACATGACCGATCGAGCCAACTTTGCAAGATAGGATCGTCCATAAGAAAAGGAAAAGTGGCTGGCCATATTGATTTAAAAAGGCACAATTGACCACGTGGACTTTGTAAGGCATGATTGGCGATGTCAAAAGGGAACGTAATCGGCCATATTGATTTGAAGGGGTACGACCGACCATGCTAACTTTGTAAGACATGATTTTCCATGCCAAAAGAGAATGTGACTATCCACGTTTATTTGAAAGGGCATGACTAACCGTATGGACTTTGCAAGGCATAACTAGGCACGTTAAAAGGGAATGTGATCGGCCACGTTGATTTGTAAGGGGTGGGATCGACCACGTTGAATTGGAGAGCATGACCAACCATGTTAAATTAAAAAGATTGTGATCGACCACGTTGATTGAAGTTTGAAAAGACATGATCGGCCATGTCAAATTAAAATTTTGAAGAGGCATGACT